GGAAGCGGTCCGGAAGTCCATCCTAAGGAGAGCATGATCTGACCATGACAAGGGCTCTATATTTATCTCCCCCATTTCCAGATCATTCTGCCACTGGCCAGAGACAAAAATTAGATCTAGTGTGTGTCCTCCCGTGTGAGTGGGGGCATGAACTAATTGGGTCAAGTCCATGGTCGTCATGGAGGCCATGAACTCCCGATTAAAAGTATTCCACCTAGCCTTAATTTAGTTTTATATGACTACCTATAATTATATTTATGGTGTGGTGTCATATTTATTTATCTCCTGTTATCAGAAGGATGAGTAATTTTAAATTGCAATTTTAAAAGATAGTTCTGTGAAAAAATGTTTTTGAATCTGTATTGTTTTCTTTTAAAAAGCAATGGTCACAACTAACTGTAGCATTAAATTACAGATTTTTTCAATCAGTTATTGATGCTTCTAGTAGAATCATGCTAAATTTTAAATTGGTCTGCCTCCTTGGTCTTCCCCCTCCTTAAGAAACCAACATTGGACCCAACTTGTCTGGATAATTTTCATCCAGTATCCCAGTTCCCATTCTAGAGTAGGTGGTGGAAAAGGTTGATGTGTTGCAGCTCCAGAAGTCCTGGATGAAACAGATTATCTGGACCCCTGTCAGTTGGGTTTCAGGCTGGGCTATGGCACAGAAATGACATTGGTCACACTTGTGAATAATCTCTGGCAAGAACGGAGTGGGTAGTGCATACATCCTTGCTCTCCTTGACCTCTCAGCAGTTTTCAATACCATGGAATCCTTTTTGGTTGACAACAGGATTTGGGGCTGGGTAGCATAGAATTGCATTGGTTTAGCTTTCTTCAAGGCAAGTCCCAACTGGTGTTAACATGGAGTGAAAGGTCCAGACTACGGCCACTTCTCTGTGGGGTGCCACAGGATTCAGTACTTTCTCCACTCCTTTTTTTAGCATCTGTATGAAACAACTGGGTGAGATCATATGACACCATGGGATTGCATATCATCTGTATGCTGTTGACATATAGCTTTATAGCTCCATCCCTGCTGGTCCAAGTGATGCTATGACTGCTCTTTCTCAATGCCTAGAGGCTGTAGAGGTCTGGATGGGGAAACAACAGGCTTCAGCTGAGCCCTGGCAAGACAAAGTGGCTATGAGTGTGGTTATTTATCATTAGTTCTGGATGGGGTTGCACTATTTCAGACAGACCTGATGTGCAACCTTGGGGTTCTCCTGAACCTGTGACTCCTGCTTGAAGAGTAAATGACATTTACGGTTAGAAGAGACTTTGCACAACTTTGTGTTGTGCCAGTTGAGTCCTTACCTACTGTAGATCATGAGGCCCTGCATATGGTCACTGCTGCCTTAGTCATTTTTCAGTTGGTTTATTGCATCATGCTCGACATGCAGAATGCAGCAGTGCACACAGTTATGGGAGCCCTGGGTGGCACATATAACACCATTGTTGTCCAAGCTGCATTAGTTACCAGTTGCTTTCAAGTCCAATTCAAGGTATTGGTTATTACCTTTAAAGTCCTATATAGCATGGATCTGAGGAGTATCTGAGGAGCCATCTCACCCCAGTGGGACTAGCCCATCCCATTTGTGCCAGTGGAAGAGGCCTGCTATGGATCCCATATGGTCAAGAATTCTGGCAGGTGAGGTTAAGGAGAAGAGCCTTTTCCACTATAGCCCTGTCCCTTTAGAACACTCTTTATTTATTTATTTATTTATTTATTAATTGCATTTATATCCCGCCCTTCTCCTTACGGACTCAGGGCGGCTGACAATTGAATAAAATACTAACATATATACTCTACATATATACTAACATATATACTACATATATACTAACATATATACTCTACCAGCTTTTTATATCCAAACTTATATTACAAGCTTTTTACGTCTCTTTTTTAAAAAAAAAAATCTCAAAAGCACTTTTAGTCCCCAAATTTCAAAGTTATATATGTGTATTGATTCCAAATTAATCTTGTAATTTTCTCTGTTTCCCCCCCAAGCAACTAATTCGCCGTTTTTCTTTTCCTGAGGGAATGGGGTGGAAATTTCCCTTCCCTCTCTCATCGGGGAGGATTCTTTGCTTTGGGTGGCTTTTTCCCAGGAAAAAGTCTTAAAAGTCATAAAGAGAGCATAGGGTTTCACCCATTTCCATCCACATTGCTCAAAAGCTGCTGGTTAATGCTTATTTTCTTCGGTTGTCGCCAGCTTCTGACTGGTCACACGAATGTAGCCAATCTTTTCCCTGCCAGTTTGGAGGGCTCCCGCGATCGAGGGTCTCCTCCTTTTCTGTCGCCTCTTTGGGGCAACTTTTGACCCTTTTTAGGGGCCCCAGCAGGGTGAAATTGAATGTGGAAGACGGAGCCCCATCTTCCTGCACCCATAATACTGCAACATTAAATTGGAAGTCCACACCATGTTTCTGATGACATCCTTTTATGTTTTGGAAAACCACTGTCATAGTTCGTAACCATCTCTTCTTTAAATTAAAAATATAAAGTAACTGGAGAACAGTTCAAATATGCAAATCTATCAAGATATTTTGAATGTTGAACCTTTTTCTGTAATTCACAGAGGAACTAACTCTGTGATCCAGCTTTATGCTATCAACAAATTTTATAAATATCCTTTTTATTTTATTTTCTAGGTCATTTATAAAGATATTAAAGAGTCCTGAACCCAGAACTAAACTCTTAGATAAGAAACCACAGACTTTCCTCTATGTGGGCACAAAGGACTTTGTGTTGCCTATGGTTGTTCAGTCAACTATGAATCCATCTGTTAATCCATACCACACTGATCCTATTTATCAAAAAGGAGGCTGTGATCTACTTATCAAATTTGTTACTAAAATCTAAGTACACTATATTCATAGAATTTCCTAGATCCACTAATTGTCTGGCATGATCTATGCTGGCTTTTGATAAACACTCTTCGAAGTGCTTGCAAACCCACAACTTATTTTTTCTAGAATGTTCCCAGGAATTGATATCAAGTTGATTGGTTATTCATTTTCAAGTTCCTCTTTTCCCCAATTTTTTTTAAATATCGTCACAATGTTGGCTCTTCTCCAATCTTCTGGCACTTCCCCTGTGCTTCAGTATTTCTCAAAGCATGGCTACTCACAGATGCTGGAAATTACATGCAACTCGATTAGTAAATTGAATTAGCAATTTATTTTTGGATGTGGTTCTTTACATAAATATATTCCCAATAGTATCTTGACTTTAGCAGCTTTCTAAAAAAAAATTACATGTACCACACACTAAAATGCACTGAGGTGATGCATTAAAAGCAATATGGAGACTTTTGAAATGAAACTTCTAATAAAAGCACAAGAGTCATTAAAAATTATCTCAAAAGAAGCCACAGATATCACTTACCAAGATCTTTGATGTTTGGAAGCACATTGTAGGTAAAGTTTTTATATGAAGCTATTTTCCCTTCAGGGGAAGCAATTCCCACATGTGATTCATAGATCCTCATACTTTTGGGTTTCTTAGGAATGGGATGTTTCCACTACACAAGAAAAAAAGTTTAAGAAGAAAAATATGAAGCTGTTAGTTTTATTAGGCAAGAATGGTCATGATGTTAAAATCTAAACCAGCACACTCAGTTTTATATAAACATAAGTTATGGAGTACATCATGTACATTTTGAAGTTGAAAAGAATCTTATTCCATTACTGACATCAATTTATTGTGCATAAATTCCTTTGTCCAAAGTTCCCATGAGACATAATTTAATCCAGGCACATCCACAGGAAAAGTTGCTGGTTTCAAAATTGTAGGTACTGCTAAGCAAAAGTCTGCCCCTTTTTACATGTTTGCAATACATATTAAAAAGGGGCACGTCTTTGATCATCTGGATGAAACTATTGCTGTAGATGCTCCTGCCTCTATCTGCGGCCAGGCAGACATCGCAAAGGCAAAATATACATTGACCACTTAGATTCCTAATGTTTTTTTTTTAAGGTCAGCAAATTGTTTGTGAATGATTTATTAAAATTCCTTTGGTCAGAACATTCATACTATCTCAATTTGACTACTGTACCATACAATTTGTAAGCAAACTTGTTTTCAAAAGTCACAAGAGATTAGATTTCATCATTAACTTGAAGATAGAGAACATCACACAGAATAGAGAGAATTCTCTTCCACAGTGTAGAATTATAATGGTATTATTTATCATTACTATTTTTGACATCAAATAATGTTTTTTTGAAAGTCCTAGGTTCCTGGGAAGACACTTTGAAAACTAGGGCATATTTTAAAGTTTATTGGTTCCTGTACTATTCATATTGGAAACATTATCCACTGAATGTTTTATATTGTCCTTTCCACTCCATTGCATCCCAGTCCTCAGTTCTCATCTTTCTTTCCTATCAATAAATGAAAGATTAATTTACTGAGCCTATCAGCAGGAATATTGTAGAAAGAACATCCAAAATTAATAACAAGTCTCTGGACTGCTAAACAAGTTGTAATTGCATGCATGTTGCATAAATCAGTATTGCTTATCATACAGAGCTAAATTGCTGAAATATGGAATGCTTTTTGAAATGTGAAAGTTCACAGAGTTTGTAAGATTAAAGGCTGACAGCAAATCACAGAAAGGCTTAAGTATATTTGACAATTTTTATTTGTTTTTTGAAAAGGACAAAAAACAGATACAGGTGCTCTGTGTACTGTTATAAATTTAATTTTGTAAAGAAAGAGTTTTCCTTTTATAGTCTATGTTACACTGCATATAAATAATGAATAAAATTATATTTAAAGTTCTTTGAATGGACTTTTGGAAATTTAGATTCTTCAGAATAATCACAGTAATAAAGCTCACTCACTTTAATATTCCCTATAGTTCTTCAGTTGACCTAAGTCCTTCAACAACATCTATCATCTTATGGGTGAAAGACTGAAACTGCATTTCAAATACAGGACTGTTACTGAGATACTATGTGCCTTCATTTATGAGGAAAAAGAAGTGACACCATCCCTATGGATTCATCAGATTAACTTTTCATACAGAATTAGATTTGCAATATGGCATGAAAACACTTCTTCCATTTTGATACAGGAATCACTACCATTTCTAAGTGGGTACCTTCTACCAGGCAATATACTGAAGCAAGTGAGCACTCATTAAAGCTGCCTTCAATTGAATTTAGTTCCTGGAAATGCTTTGACAACAGTATGGAAGTAATTTGCCATTACTTTCTTCTAGGGTTTTTAAAGAAAACAACCTACAGTCTGAATGTCTTCCATCTAGATCTGGCCAGCTTTAATTTTTGAGCACAAATTAAGATAACCTAAGGACTACCTTTGATTGATATACATATAAAATATCTTTAACAATTTGCAAAAATAAATGTGTGTGTTGGTATGTGTGTGTATATTATATTATATTAAGTATGTTAATAGGAAAGTGCACATAGTTTGCCCTTCTAATAAACAATATTCTACATGTAAAGAGTATAATTCTTTCTCCATGTAACTAAGAGAGTTTACAAGCTGTAAGAAAAAACATGTATAAAAATATCAAATTTAAAATTTATAAGAAATAAATCACAATTAATTTAGTAACTTACTTTATATGGAGTTGATGGCTCCCAGTGTATCCAATCATAATTCACATTGGTACCCTCACGAACTACGTATCTAGCCCAAGGAGAAATGCGATAAAGGATCTCTCCAGTTTTGGTTCTTATCACCAACTAAAAAATTCAATGCAGTGAGAAAGTATGGAAATTAAATTAGGATTGGAAGTATAAATGAGATGTAGCCGTGAATATAAACATCAGTCCCATATTTAAAGTACTCTTTTTCTCACTACTATAGTGTTTTACAGTTGAAAATATTTTTGATGCAGGTTATTCTACACTAAAATCAAGCCACACACACACAGTTCAGCATGAATGTAGTTACAGAGACTATTAATTAGAAAAAAATAGTTACACATTTTTATAGTCACTAACTTGCCTATTTGTTGTATGCATAAAAATGTCAAAGAAAAACTGAATGTATTATTAATAAAAGTCTCGATAACTTGACCCATACTGAATAAAAGTAATATAAAATATTGGTTATTTTTTACAACAGAAAAAAACTCAGCAAGTGTTGCAACTTTGCATAGCCTGTGTATCATTGAAATACCAGCTTAATGGGATATTATAAATTACAGAGATAGAGATAATAGTTTCTTATATAGGTTCCTTGTAAATAGCTAGCCTCCAATATTTGCATATTCATATTAAAGGTGTTCCACTCAAACAGTATTTAGCATGATGATAGCCTACGATGTCCAGTTGTATTTAACTCATTTACTGAAAAGTCACATTTGCCAACACTAGCTTGCAAATAGTTTCATACTAAGAATATGTCAGACACAGCATACAAATATATGAAACAATTAGTGATAAGAGTTCCTAAAAAATTCTCTCATTTTTTCATATTGTTTTCACTTATAATATGATCATTCTACACAGAATGTGGTATGTTGGGACATTCAGTGATTGGAAGCAGTTTTTTTCAGTGGCTGCCCAAACTCTATGGAACATTGTGGTCCTTAAGATCATGATTGTGCTTTGTTAACCACTGATACTTAACAGAATATACTAGTTCTATTCCATCAAGCATCATTTTATTCCACATATTCCATCAAGAAAGGTCTCTTTTGACATGCTTTGGGGAACATAAAGTGTTATATCATTGGGCTGTTGCTAATTTAAAAGGAAATGATTGTTTTACCAATTAATATGAAATAAATTAATGCTATCTCCATTGTTGTTGCTATTTAATAGATGTCTTTTTGCTTCAAAAGCTACTAAAAGTAGTAGCCTCTGACTGATTATTCATGTAAATTTTCTTTTGAATAACAAATGAAGGTCATTACCACAACTGATAAACAACTACGTTTCTCTATGCTCTCCTTCATACCAAGCTAAAAAGTTAGTTGCACAAGCTTTATTTTTAAACAATATCCTAATAATATTTGTATACATGTTGTATTTTTAACAGATCTCCGTTGACATATGACTAAAACTATTCATACTGCTCCAAGTGCAGTCTTACAATGGATTTATATAAAGACATTACTATAGTCACAGCTTTATTTTCAATTCCCAATGATTCCAAGCATCAAATTTGCTTGTTTATGGCAGTTGCAGTTGGTTGATATTTTCATCGAGTTATCCATCATGACTCCAAAATCATTTTTCTGATCAATCTCTTCCAGCTCAGATTTCACGGATATATATGTAAAGTTTGTAATTTTAGAGCCACTGAGATTCACATTGCAATTGTACTATTGGCAATAGCAAGGCTTATTCACTCACTTTCAAGATTGTATTAGAATTCTTCACAAAACCTTTCTGATTATCTTATGCTAAATAGTTTGATATCATCAGCTTACTTGGCCAATCTTCACCCATAAGAACAAGTAAATTATAACGCACAGTTTTCTGCAAGTTTTTGGAACAGTAGACTGTGCATATTTCTTCAATTTTTTTTTAAAAGGTCTATTTATTAATGTTTATCATTTTTAATGAACTGTCAACATATGAAAGCATATTTTTTCTTACACCACTATTACACAATTTCCATTAGCAGAAGAGCTGTTCCAGGCTCTGCCTAGCATGTTCAGAGCCAGTGAAATGAGCACCATTAAAACTTCTAAAATTAAGCAATATTTATTTATATTAATTGCCTTGTCAGTGTTAATTACATTGTCAGCATGTAGGATGCCCAGGTATTTGTAGTGATCGTCTTCATCCAGACTCCTAATGTTATTGGGCGTCTTGATTTCTGCAGTTTTCACACTTTTTATTTTATTTATTTATTAGATTTATGTGTTACCCATCTCATCTAGATGAAAGAGAGAAAAAGAACCATATAGTCCCCCTATTGAATGGTGATGGTAGCACATTTCTCCAGTCCAAACTCCATTGTAATATCTTGACTGTATATACGAACAGTGTTGAGCAGTGAATGCCAAATCTGTTGATTTATTTTTTCAGAAAATCCAGAAAATATCTCAGAAGAGAAGAAAAAGAACTTCTCTTTTTGTCCTGTAAACTATTGTCTGAATAACTCTTGAGTATTTATTTAATTATAAAGCTCTCTTTTCTGTCAGAGAATAAATGAGTACTGCTTTTGATAACACATTCTGCTGTGAACAGATATGTCAATGAATGAGAACATCTCATTGTTTCCTACGTGAATTTATTTTAGTCTTTTCAAACATTAAAATTATACCCTTGGTCAAATATTCTGTACTTTCAGTGGTAAATAGCTTTCAGTCTTTGCAACCTCTCAAACTCTTGTGTCATATGATACAAAAACAAAGGAAAGAAAAAAAAGTTAGCAGTAGGTGCTCCCATGTTCTTATGTCATGACAACATATCATCTGAATGCCACACTTTATTTTTTTAATCAGACATGATTATTTCATTAATTAGACTGTATTTTTTTTTAAAAAAACCTGTGATTAAAATATTGCTATTTATATAAAAGATAATTTCTTTGAATAACTATACACTTTGTGAGAAATTCTTTCTTGACTGAGTTCATATATATGGTTAAATAATGTTACTCTAGTAATACATGGATTTCACTAGGTGCCTACTGAAAACAAGATATATAGTTGCACCTTTAAAGCTGCATGTGAGAATTTCTCTTATGTAATATTGTGCAATTTCCACATGGTTAACAAAATCTTATTCTGAATACTAGTAATTTAAAAAGCTGGATAATTGCATTAATGACACCAATCTTTTTAAAGTCATCATAAATATTTACATAATTCCTTTACTGCTAATATTCAATATATATATTTACTAAAGATTAGTTTTTGTTGCTGGTTGATTAGTGTTTCTTAAATGTTAATGAAAAAAGAGAGATATACTAAAATGATAGATAGATAGATAGATAGATAGATAGATAGATAGATAGATAGATAGATAGATAGATAGATAGATAGATAGATAGATAGATAGATAGATAGATAGATTAGACAGACAGACAGACAGACAGACAAAGAGTTTGTATCAAGTAACAAAGTCTTGTCTCTGAAAGAAGTCATGCCTTGATTTTCCAAAAGAGGGAGATGTAACTCTATTCATAAAAATAAATGGAAGCTTTCCATTTCAAAAAAAGCATATGAAATATATTCTAGTGAATTATTAAAAACCAGTATCTTCTCTCATTTTACTTCTGCATTAAATGTCAGTTTATGTATCATTACTGGTATATCCATTGAAAACACAAATCCAATCCTATAGTCTCACCTAGGCCACGTTAACCAAAATGAAAACTCTATTCAGAAATATAAAAAGCAAAATGCATATGAATATATATGACTAATATGAGATATATCAATCATCATTGGCAATAATTAGCAGTGACACAAATTTCAGTTTCTAATAGCTTTTAAAGACAAGGGGTAGGTAACAGGCTGTCCACCACTATTATCCTCCAAAGATTTCAGAACTATCTTTCCTCTTTTTTTCTATTCCTGCATTCAGAAACTGGCAAACCATGAAAAAAGATAGTTCTATTTTTTCTCAACAAGACTGAAAAAAGAAATGGACAAATTCCATGCACATAAATAGGAACATTTCCTGTCCCTGTCTGCTGTTTAGAGCATAATGAGCTAGAGCTTATTTGGGAAAATTTTGCATTGTATTTAATGAGTAAAAACAAACGGTTTTTGCTTCCAGTGTGGCCATTACACTTTTTGAATCATACAATGTAGAAACTAGAAGAGATCTTGAAGATAATTTGTCCAACTCTGTGCCTAATTCATGAATGCATCATATCTCCAACATATAACCATCCAGTCTCTGTTTAAATTCCCATAGTAAAGGATGGAGGCTTTCTCCCACCCAAAACTGTTCCACTACTGAGCAATCTTAATGGTTAAGACATTTTTTATGAAGTACAATGAAATTTATTTTGTCATTTCAAGCCATTGCTAAATACCCTGCCTTCTGGAAAACCTCTGAACAATTTTGTCCATCTTCTACTTGATGGTCTTTCAAATACTTGAATACAAGCTACCATATTTACACAAGTGTTTCAATCCAGGCCTCTTATCTTCTTTGTTACTCCCCTCTAGACATACTCCTGTTTGTCAGTGCCCTTCTTAAAATATAGTGCTATATACTGGGTGCAATACTTTGTGCCTGGTCTGACTAATAGAAATTATGGTCACTATTATATATGCTGTTCAAAGTCACTTGATTGTGAGAAAGGCAGCTATATAAATATGAATGAATGATTGAATTGTGAACCAATACCACACTGGAAGTCAACATGACCTGACACTTGTTATGGCTTGTCTGAGTTTTCCACAGTAGAAAACTGATGGTTGAACCACGCTCCGTGAATTTCACTAGCAGTACTCCTTTGGCATCTTCACATTTGGTGGGATTTTCTATGGCACCATTTCCGGTGTGGTGTTGGTTCATGATAATGCTCACCCGCACACTGCTAGACGCACTCAAGAACTTTTGAAACAGTTCTATTGGGGATGTTTTTGATCACCTCCCCCCATAGCCCAGATTTAGCGCTGAGCAACCACTACTAAGGAATTTCAAACCTTGTAAGACGTTATGACAAGTGCCTCAATGTGAATGGCGATTATGTCGAAAAGTAATGTAATGTTGTAGTTTTCTAATGTGTATAATAAAAGTTCTGTATCTGTGAGTGTCTGTCATTGATAACTAAACGGAGGTTTATTTCCGAATTGCCCTCATATAATTATTTTGTTCATTATACAGTAATTTATAGTAATTTTGTTTTATATTATTTTGATAGCAATCCATGGAGGTGAAGAAAATGGGTTTGCAGGTCTTATTTTCACTTTGAAATATTAAGTGGTACATAACTGAACACTAGAAAACTTCAATTATGAAATTTGACAATAAACATTGATACAACAATGAAGTATCTTTTTGAAACACACACCTTCAGTTTGGATCCATGAGAAACAGGGCGAAACCCATCTGGTCCAGGTGGAATGAACAATTCCCATTTCCCAAAATCCATTTTCTTGTATGGATGGGAAAATGGATTCCAGTTATCTATAATAATTTAAAAAGAATTAAATAGTAAATATTCATTAAATTGCACAGTTCATATATAAAAACAGGAACAGACAAGTTGACAATGCTTTTTTTTCTGTACAACTCATTACTCTGGGACCTTTCTGCATATATGAGGAATTATTTTAATATTTGCAGTGCAGTTCCAAAGCAATACAAGAGTTAAATTTAATTTTAAGCTAAAAGTTAAATTATGAAAAAAATGAAATAATACAATCCACAATTCCCTAAATAGTTATTTGGGAAATAAAGAATTTTTGACATTAAATCTTCATATCCTTTCCACATTTTCTATTCTGCCTCTTGGAGATTCTCTGAAGACCTTGTGTTTCAATTAAAAATCTTTCAGTTTTTAGATAACTTTTGGACCCTAGTTTTGCTGAATGTGTAATTCATCCATCATGTAGCCTGGCAATTAAGGAAGAAAAAGTACCGGTAGGTGCAATGAGTCTACATAAAATAATTACAATTGATGTCCCAACTCCGACAGCTTTTGATTCAAAAAAAAGCTCAAGTGATTTAATCATTTTTAGTATGTCAAGGATATAAATGCATAAATAAATAAAATAAGCTGCTTGATTAATCTTCTAACTATTTGACAAATGACAGCTTATTAGTGTCAAAAGGAGGTTCCTATGTTTAAATCCTCTGACTCCAGGAATTATAGGAACCACTCCAGGAACTGTGACATCTTAGGAAAAACATGTTATTCTACTATCCCTACAATCATTATATTTTTCAAGAAATTAAAGTGATTGATGTTAAATTCTATATTTAGTTAATAAGAAAATATGTGTAAAAAGTAATTTTCTTTAAGCTTTTCAAGCAGCTACAATGTCAATACCATCTCTTTATTAGCTTTTGATTACCAATTGCCTCATATTTATGATTTACTAAACTTTTAACAGTGTTAATTGTCCAACTGCAATACTGTGAAAGCTCTCTTAATACTATGAGTATCTCTGGGGTAGAGAGCAAAAATACAGTTAGAAGCATTGTAGTTGAGGGCATAAATGTACATAGACTTTTGTTTGAAAACGTGTCCTGTTGCTAAATGAGAACAAACATAACTTGCGGCAAATATAAAGTAGATTATATGATGCAACAAGGAATATGGACTTAAAAATCAGTAAATCAAAGCCCAATGTAATTATGATATAAGGAAAATGAAGTTATTCCCAAAGATACATAAATAGCTCCCATTTAGCAGATGAACTAGGCGGCTTGCTTCATTTTTTCATTCTCTCCAGCAAGTTAAACAAATGGATCTTATAGTTGGACAAAAGATGAAGAGAGTTCTGGCAGAGTACCGTTTACAGAATTGCTGATCAACCCTCATATCGGCCAACCTTAATAATGATCTGTAGATCTATAAAAAAACTGTAGTTCAAAAGCTGGAGCCCTTTTTGGCATGCTTTCCCAATTCTTGGTTAAGAAGCCTACAATCTCATCAAATCATGAGATGGATGATGGATGGATGAGTCTGTATATCTTATCTATATCCTTTTTATTATATTGAATAATTGAATAATTACATTGTATTTCAATATTATATTGAAATCTGAATACATTATATTGCTTCAATACAATCATATTGTACAAGTATTAATTAACATTATTGATGTTCTATTGTTTAAATCAGGGTCCCCAACCCCCGGTCCATGGACTGGCACCAGGCTGTGGCATGCCAGCAACTGGGCCATGCAAACAAGCGAAGCCCCATCCGTGGGATGCAGGCAGCACACGAAACCATGCCCACTCTGGTCCATGGAAAAATCTTTTTCCATAGAACTGGTCCCTGGCACCCAAAAGGTTGTGGGCCTCTGGTTTATATAACGTAGAGTATTAGAAATACAGGAAAGAGAAAGAAATATTGTATCAGATTAATTACAATTTGTTGTTCTTTTGATGCTTGGGGCTACACTAGTCCCTGCCTCTTTCTTGACAAGATTTCAGAAGTGGTCTGCCATTGACAGTTTCTTCCTAGGGTTGAAAGACTGACTAGTCCAAGGTGCCTAACCTTAGAACAAAGTGTTTCCCAGTTTCTAGCCTGACGCCTTAACCACTATACCGAACTAATTCTATCTTAACCACTGTACCAAACTAACTCTATCTTAATCTATGTTTCTATGCTATATGTGGTACAATATGAAAAAGTGAAGTAACTTTATGCTTTGGCCTCTTCATACTCTGCCACATATAGCAGCTGATATATATAGCATAGAGCAGGAGTCCCCAACCTTGGCAACTTTATACTCCATGGCATAGAGTATAACATTAAAAAGAAACTGTAGCAGATTACATAAAATTATTTGTTGCACAATAAAAGGTTTTAATCTT